AATGGTCTTTGTTTCTCATTTAAGGCTTTATAAGTAAAAAAAAATAAAAAAATAAAAAAATTATTGTAATATTTTTAATAGGATGAGATGTATCTAAAGGCAATGTCTGCACTGTGAACACAATGTTACCTGTTTCATCTTCTGGAAAAAAAAAACATGTTTACATAATGCAGCAAACAGATATATATATATATATATATATATATATATATATATATATATAGAGAGAGAGAGAGAGAGAGAGAGAGAGAGCTCAGAACTCAGAGCTTCAAATATCCAGTTATCCCATCCCCCCCTCTGCAAATGGCAAGTGGCCATTGACTAATTACTGTATGCAGGCACAAGATATACTAAAGCTGACAGGGTTTTAGAACCGTTGTAGGTGGCATTGAATAGAGGGCAGTCACAAGAACCTGGACTTCAGCAAGTTCTAAACACAAATCCTGATGTTCAGTGACAGATGGTGAGGTTTCTAAAGATGGCAGGGCAACAGACTCCAGCAAGAAAATTTGTTTCCACCCTCCTCTTTCAGGAAATCCCACCTTCCCACCTCTTGATCTATTGTACTCATAAAATATTACACTGGCTGTCAATAATTTAAAAAATATATTTATTTTTTATCCTCTGCTTAATCACTGTACTACTATTTAATTTTCCTTATAGTCTAGCCCTAGTGTTTGTTTTTTTACTCCTGCAGCCCGGGTTCAGTTCTTGTATTGACATAAAATGTGTTATTTTTATTTAGTTAGATTTTAAATCAGATAAAAACATTGTTTATGATGTCACATGCAGTGGATATTTTTTTCTACATGAACCAACACAAAAGTAAGCAAAGCTGTCAATTCGCAAACAGGGTTATTCGCTAAAGTCCAAATGGCCGTGTGCTGGCAAAACCATTTTGTGCAGTATGGAGCCGTTCAGACTACAAAATCCAGACATTGTTCACAGTATGTAACTGTCTGGATTTTGTCCCACAGGCTCCAAATAAGCCTGAAATAAGGGCCCAGATTTTAAAGATCCAAACTATTTGACTGCAGGCAGCTTCTGTGACAGGTAGGGGTTGAGGAATTTAATCAAGAGGGATATTAAACTGTCCTCTTGGTTCCACCTATGGGCTTTGGGTTGGTGGACAGACCATTATCCACCTCTAAACAGGTATAGAGAGTCTCGCTCCCTCCTCCCTTTCACCAAACCCTTAGCTACCACCCAACAAATAATTCTCTACCTGTCACCTCACCCTCATAATAGTGAGGGGGCAATAAAACTAATACCTGTAACAAAATAATTTACCTTCAGAAGTCTTCTTTTCTTTTGCTCCCCCCGCCACCCCCCAAATAAAAATCCTTCACTCTTTAAAGGCTGACTGATTTTAAGGCGGGAAAGGCCTTTTGTAAAACAACCAGTCAGAGTGCACTGAAAGGAAAGACTCATTTCTAAAGAGAATTGCTTGGGAATATAAGAATTGCCATTCCGGTTGGAATTCAACCGTTTCCCCCAAATTTTGTCCATCTGGACAAAATCCAGGTTTTAGTGAATACACTGAAAGTATATCACAATGATATACATTTATTGCATTTTAATGTACTTTTTTTCACCTGTAATACAAAAAAAAGATCAGAAAAAAGTATTTAAATTACAACTACCTGGTTCTATTGAGCAAGTGAAAGCCCTTCAGCTTGCATGGAATTGAAGCTTTATTTTATGAGCTCAGTTCACTACCTCTAGACTTTTTCCAAAGTCATGATTTACCTGGATATTTTAAAAATCTTTGAGCTATATTATACAGGGCTTCCAGCTTGGACACTGAAGATTACAAAAGTCACTTTAGAAATCACCCCTAGTGGTGCTCTCTGGGTAGTTTTCACAAATAATCTACACATGTACAGCTGCTCTCAACAGCTTTTCCAGATAGCCATCATTAATTATCAGTGAGTCACTTTGTTCTCTAGTGGAAGACGTAGAGTGGAAATTATACACCATACCATGCAGCAGTGTATATTCGTAGCTTACAATTCAAGATTTTCCTAGTCTTGACGTCAGAAAATATAGATTTTATTAAAGACAGGAGGCGAGTATTATGCATTAACTTTCTTTACTTAACTCCAGCAGCAAAGACATTTTTTTCAATAAAGTTTAGTGAATAAAAAAGGTAAAACAACAGAGTAACTGAAATGGAACGTTGGTAGCCAATCAACATCCAGTATAGTCCATATAGTGAATGATCCCCAATATTCTCCCTCTTTCGAGCTGCGAATGTAGAAGAAGTGTCTAGTAGAGTAGCTCCAAGGATAGAATGATGAAACTCCAAACAGGATTAAGCTGAAATATAAATAACAGGATGGGTTAATGGGAGGGATAATACTCGCCTCCTGTCTTTAATAAAATCTATAATTTCTGACGTCAAGACTAGGAAAATCTTGAATTTTACAACAAGACAGGAGGCTCGTATTATGCATGTTCAAAGCTATGTAGTCATAATATAACATACATCGGAAGTTATTACAATATTATTTTTGAAACATGCTGGCTAGGTCTAAAATAAAACTGTTTAAATGTAGATTCTGAAGACCAATCTGCTGTTTTTAATAGATCTGATAAAGAGCCTCCTGCTTGAAACACTTTAGTAGTCATAGCTCCTCTTGATAAGTGAGCTCCAAACATTGAAATATTAATACCTGCCATAGACATGGTTTGTCGTACCCATCTAGCTAAAGATGTAGAGGAGACAGGTAGAAAAGGTTTACGAAAGGAGATTAGTAATTGTGAGAAATTAGAATTTTGAATCAAAGAGGTTTTAAACTCATATGTTTGAAGACAACTAACAACACATAGAAGAGGATGGTCAGAAAATGAAGGATAGAATACAGTACGGAGATTAGTTTTGGTACGTCTAACAATAGAAAATGTAACACCATCAGGAGTATATTGTCTATTATTTAAGTCTAAAGCCTTAACGTCAGAAACTCTTTTGAAAGAGATGAGACATAGTAAAGTGGTAAGCTTAAGCGAAAGCAATTTTAAGGATAATGAATCATTGGCCCCCCATGATTCTATCAACTGGAGTACCAGAGTAACATCCCAGGTGGAATTATATTTAGGGCATGGAGGACGTTTAAATCTGATACCCTTCATAAGTCTGCAGACTAGAGGATGTTTACCCACAAGGAAAAATTCAATAGGGTCGTGATTCGCTGAGATAGCGGATCTATAGACATTAATGGTGCGATAAGCTTTCCCTGAATCAAAAGAGGATGACAAAAAATTTAGAATGTTTTCTAAATCTGAATGTATGGGATCCACTGCCCGTTCCATGCACCAATTAAGCCAAATTTTCCAGGCTGATCTGTAATTTGCACGGGTTCCCGGTGCCCATGCTTCTGAGAGAATGTTTCTAGTAGTGCTTGAAAATTCACTATGAGATTCGAATGGCCCGAAATGAGGGATGCAATCAGGGGTAATTGGCCCGACAGTACTAGAGGATGACAATTTCCCTTCGGGTCGCGAAGAGAATCCCGATGCATCTGTATGAGTCGAGGGTAGTCTATCAGCATGCTGAGAAGCTGAGGGAACCATGGTTGTGATGGCCAGAGAGGGGTTATAATCACTAAGGTCGATTTCTGGGACCATGCTTTCAGAAGTACCCGGGATATCATCGTAAACGGGGGGAAAGCATAATTGACCCCTTCCTTCCAACATTGGAGGAAAGCATCTTGATCTACTGCTTCTGGATCCGGCCGCCAACTGAAATTTTTTTCCAATTGGCGATTGAGCCGTGATGCAAAGAGGTCGTATCGAAATGGACCCCACAGGGCAAGAATTTGTTGGAAGATGTTGGGATCCAACATCCAGTCGCTGTAATCCACTAGGAAGCAGGAATTCCAATCTGCTACTGTATTGGAAAGGCCGGGAAGGTATTCTGCTCGTAACGTTATGTTTCGATCGAGGCAAAAATGCCATAATTCTTTGGCAATGTCAGCCAGTTGCTTGGATTTTGTACCTCCTAAGCGATTTATATATTGGACTGCTGATATGTTATCCATCTTGAGAAGGATACAACAATGGGATTTGTGTTTCGCAAAACTGCGTAGAGCGAAAAACCCTGCCATGAGTTCCAGGCAGTTTATATGCATATTCGTCTCTTCTAGAGACCGTTTGCCTCCTGTGGAATTGCCTCCACAATGAGCTCCCCAGCCTAAACGACTTGCGTCGGATTCTATAGTTAGGTCTGGGAATGACGTGAAAATGGCTTTCCCGTTCCAAATTTGAATGTGATCTAACCACCAGGAAAGTTCTATTCTTCTCTCTGAAGTTAGAGAAATCTCATCTGAATAAAGGAGACCATTGTTTAGATGTTTTCTTTTCAATCTTTGAAGAGCCCGATAGTGAAGGGGGGCTGGAAAGATAGCCTGGATCGAGGTTGATAAAAGTCCTACAATCCTTGCTAACGACCTGATGGAAATTAATTCCTTCTTTAGAACTGACCTGATCTCTTTTTGAATTGTTTTCAACTTCTGTGATGGAAGGCTGAGAGTGGCTAAATTGGAATTTACTAGAAATCCTAAAAATTCTATCTCCTGAAAGGGAGTTAAAATTGATTTTCGTAATTTATTACAAAGCCAAGGCTTGTTAACAGATTCAATGTCCATTGGGAATGTAGTTGAAGAGTTTGCACACTCTGTGACATAATCAGTATGTCGTCTAGATATATTATCATTCTTATTCCACTGCTTCGAAGTAGGGATATTACTGGTTTCAGTAATTTGGTGAAACACCAAGGTACAGAGGATAAACCAAATGGCAATGATTTGAATTGCCATTTCTTCCCTTGCCATAGGAATTGTAAATATTTCTGACATGAATGGTGGATAGGTACTGTAAGGTATGCATCCTTCAAATCTATTTTGATCAACCAGTCGTTGAACATCAACAGGTCTTTGAGGTAATAAATTCCCTCCATTTTAAAATTGTTTAAGTATTTCAAGTTTATGACTGGTCTGTGACCAGAATCTTTCTTTTTCACCAAGAATAAATTGCTTATGAAGCCTGGGCTGTTCATGGGCACCTGTATGATGGCATTTTTTGAATATAAATTTAATATTTCTTGATGCACCAGGGCCTGGTCTTGGGCCGAAAATTTTATCGGGAAAGGCATGTTTCTTTGGACGGGGAATGATATAAAATCTATTTTGTAACCTAGAACCGTGTCTAGTATCCAAGAGTCGTTTGTAACCTGACTCCAGACATGGAAAAAACAAGTGAGTCTGCCCCCTAACCTTACTGGGAAAGAACGGGGAGTTGTCATACTCACCGGATGAAGATCTGAAGCGAGACATTCCTCGATGGCCTCTCGATCTCCTAGGTCTGCCACGAAGTGGAAAGAAAGGAGTTGATTGTTGGGTGTCATATGAGGATCTGGAGGGTTGAAAAGTGTTCCTTGGAACCTGTCTATGCTGAAAGGAATAGCTGGAAGAACGGTTCCTTCCTCCTCCAGCCCTTCCGAAAACCTTAGTGTTGAAAGCTTTCTTCAGGGATAACTGAGCCTTATTAAGGGAACTAAATAGATTGACATATTTATTAATGTCTTTAATAAAGGATTCTCCGAATAGGTGACCTTCCGCAGCTGGACCAGGTTCGGAAGTAGCTAGATTTGACAGTTGAGGGTCAATTTTCATTAAAATAGACCTGCGGCGTTCGCTGGTCAGCGCTGCATTAGCATTCCCCAAAAGACATATAATGCGTTGGGTCCAGCCTCTCAAAGTATCAATGCTGGGAGGATTCCCAGAAGCTGCCGCATATTCCAAAGTTTCAAACATTTTAGTCACAGGACCAGAAATGTCCTTTAATTTATCTTGACAAGATTTCAGTGACCTGTCAAGGCCTTTATTAGGGTTCTTCCCTGATTTTGATAAAAATTGTACAATAGTAGGATCTAGATCAGGGGTCTGTGCGACTTTCTTTGATAAGGTCGGTCTAGGGCATTCAGCCCTTAGTTTATTTCTAGTTGCTTGGTCAAGGGGTTTCCTTAACCAGTATTCAAGATATTTGGCTACATGAGCCATAGGGACCCATTCGGCTGACCTGGGGTGTTTAATATGGTCTGGGTCAAATAATGGTTTACCATTAAAATCCAAAATAATGTTTTCATTGTCAGATTTAGAAATAAGCTCAGGTGTCTCTGAGATATATGAACAAATTGAGGCAGAATCAGAGTCAGATTTTTCATCCTCTGAGATTGAAGATGATTCACTATCTGAGGAGGTTTTATAGGAATCAGGTTTGTTCCTGTGAATGGCCTTCCGAGCCCGTTTAACTTCCTCACGAGCAGAGGGTCTTTTGAGTGATTGATTACACTCTTCAGTTTTGCGTGAAGCACGCATTGTATTCTTGTCTCTCTTAACTTGCTTAGAGCCATTAGGGGATTCTGCAGGACCATCAAAGCAATGTTTGCGTTTCTGGGTGGCCTTCCCAGACCTCCTAAAACCTTGAGCTAGGTTTCGTCTAGACTCCACAGATGACCAGAATTGGTCTGAAGGAGTATTAATTAAATGAGTCCTCTCACTGGGTTTTGAGTTATTTATGGCTTGAGCCACAGACTTTGCAATTGCCTCTTGCATAGAGGACATTGCAGTATAAATATCAGAGGAAACTGACTTTTGAACCACAATATTATGTAAAGAATCCTCAGTGAGGATTTCACAGTCATGAGAAACATCAGGTTTTGGTGATTCAATCTGTCTGATCTCCTTAGAGTTCACAATTTCAAAATTGCAACAAATAGTAATTGTATCTACGATTTGTAGAATAGTTAAATAGTAAGTAAATGTTGCCAGTTATGAGGGGAAATACTGACAGGAATTCAAATAGTTAAAATTATAATAATTACCATTAGAGAGTAACAAGTTGTGAGGAAAGTGCTGTCCTGAGGTAAAGTGGGCGGGAAAGTTAGCTGAGGACCAACTAACTGGTATTCCCGCTCATAAACATCATCAATGTATAAGGGACTAACTGACAGAAAACGCGCGTGCAACGGTTCGTGTAGAAACTGCCGAAATGACTGAACAGTTTAAAGACAAAAAACTCTAAGAAACATAGAATTACTTCAGAAAAGCATATATTCCAGTGAATAAATACATATGTCAAACATATAATCAAACTAGAATGTTTAGAAAACAGTAGCATAAGTGAATATATATGATACTTATCTCTACTGGAGCAGCTCGAAAGAGGGAGAATATTGGGGATCGTTCACTATATGGACTATACTGGATGCTGATTGGCTACCAACGTTCCATTTCAGTTACTCTGTTGTTTTACCTTTTTTTATTCACTAAACTTTATTGAAAAAAATGTCTTTGCTGCTGGAGTTAAGTAAAGAAAGTTAATGCATAATACGAGCCTCCTGTCTTGTTGTAAAATTAGTCTGCTCCTCTGTAACATAGGGGAGGCAGCCTGGCACTTCTGGCCTGCACTTCTGTTGGCTGCAGACCATAAGTAGCTGTCTTCCTAGCTCAGGCCAATCAGAGCGCTGCCGCAGGTTACCACAGGACACTGCAAGTCCCTGAGCTTGCGAGACAGTTACGCATGGTCTGCACTCAGTGGAGGAGCAGACCAGATTCAGATCAGCATGCCCAACTAGGTAACAGGAAAGGAGGAATTAATATTTTTTTAAAAATCATTATTAATTTAATAAATCCTTTATACAATCACTACACTCCTATACACACACACACCATACATGGATGACAGGTGGAGGGGGTGGGGGCGCTGTGAAGATTTTTCGCACAGGGAGCCTAAAGGCCTAATGCCGGCCCTGCCAGGGACAATTATTTAGTGTTCAAATTGCTCGAACACAGTTTAACATTCTAGGCAGACACAGCAACAGGGAACTCCAGGCACTATAACCAATTCAATAAGATGAAATGGTTATTATGTCTGCACTGGGAAGAAGTTTACATAGATACGTAAATATATAAATATTATCATTAAAAAACAACACCACTACAACACTTAGCAGTAGTTACCCAATGAGTCATTCAATGTAATAGTTAGATCCTATCTGGTTTAGTTTGCATAAAAGCTTGAAAATATTATAAGATAGTATGTGAAAAACAAGGAGATGCATAGTTTTGAAGAGAAACCAACATATTTTGGACATCCAGTTTAACCACTTAAGGACCACATTGTCTCTGCCGTCATTCAGGGCTTTAATGGCATAGACCATCATGCAGTAAAGGTACCAACAGGTTCACTGGTACCAATGAACTCCAGGTGTATTTCCAAACCTGATGATCCCCTCTATCAGCTAAGATCACAGTCAGTGGCCCCCAACAGACAGATGAGCTATCTGCCACACTCAAAGGGAGAGCTGCACATAGTCCATTAAATACAGCGGCTGAGTGAGAACATCATCTTTTTATCACTGTCACAGCTGGGTGCCTTCAAAAATCAGGAAACCATAGTTATGTCTCGATATCTGGGGTTCACCTCTGATTGAAGAGCTATGTGCAGTGCTCAAAGTGAAGGCGGCACAAAGCTCTCTAAGAATTTACATACAATCACACTCAGCAGCGATAATGTAAATTAGGCAACAAAGATTTAGTGTCCCCCCAGCGTGTCCCTGTTCCCTCTTCTATGAGGGAGGGTCGCCCTGCATGCTTCTTAGCCATGTATCGTTGCTGGGCTTTGCCAGCACTGATCTCTTTGTGCAGGGGTAGTATTACAGGTAGGATTATGGGTAGGATTATAGGTCGGATTATGGGTAAGATTGTAGTTAGGATTATGGGTAGGATTATAGGTAGGATTAGGGGTTTGATTAGGGGAAAAGGTATGCGTGTGGGGTACTCAAAATCAGTTGTAGAATAAAAATATGCAGTGTTTGCTGTCGTGGAACATGTGTATTCTGTGAATTTTCCTGAAATAAAATGTGTGTCGGAAAAAAATTATCTTAGTTACATGTTGTCATCTTCCTAGCTTTACCCATTTCTCCTTGCTCTCAGACTATCCCCATTATCATTGTTACATTTTTCTTCCTCTTCTTTATCCTTATGTTGTCCTATTTTTCAGTTGACAGCTTATTATGCACACATTTGTTTTATTATTATTAACCCATGTTTATTAAATCTCACTTTGTTGACTGTATTCCTATTCTTGTATGACAAAAACGGTTACACACAAGGATAATTAAAAGATCAAGGAAAGTAGTGATCCACTCAGAGAAAAGGCATCATACATAGGTCTTAATTTAATTGTTTTAGATAAGCTTTTTTAATTATCACAATCTGTTAGTAAAACATTTCAAATGATTTATTTACAAACAATTCCACAGACTTTAATGGTGGCTTCTGTAATTTAATTTGAGATTTGTTTCCAAAATTTTGATGATTTGAAAAGCTTATCAAAAATATTAAATAGAGATCTTTGTGAAGGTCTATGTATTGAAAATGTTATATATTCTACAAAGAAAGAAAAGGGAAAGCAATATTTTTTTTTTGAGTACTAAGCGCGTACTTTCTTGGTCAGCCAGCTATGTATGTACCAATAAACAAAATGACTGAAATGTACACTCCTGAATATTGAGGAGAAATAATTTATTTTCTTAAAGAATAAACAAGCTAGCAAACATTTTTGTTGACAGTTCAGGTTTATAACGAGTTTTTATTTCAAATTTTAAAGACCAGGACATTAGAGACCAGAAAGAGGTTTAACAGTCAGTGAAAATGTTGATTGGTTATTTATTTATTTATTTTTTTAATGCATTAATAAACCACATATTCTATTTTGTACAAGAGTAGAGAATGCCAGATCTTCTCAATTGATATATATTATTTATATATCTTATACACATGCTAGGGAATAAAATACCCTTCTGAACCCTGATCCAAAAGATGTACATAATCAATGACATTTCACCATTTATATCTAGTGTGAAAAAATTGTTGATAACTTTCTAAGGTATCAATGCATATTAAATTAGCTTTAAACCAGGAAAATACAAAAAAAAAAAAAAAAACGACTTTACATTATTTGCGTGTTTTTGAATATAATTAATCTAATAAAGTTTTTTCTCCAAAAATGATAACATAATAAAGCAGTTGAAGATTAACTTCTTTTTGTAGATAAGTATTTTGTGCAATGAAAAAAATATATATCAATCAATATTTTTAGTAGTGTTTACAAGCTGCATGTATATAGGCAAAAATGAAGCCCCTTTCTAAGTGCAAATGCTAATATCAGTTTTATTGGTGGGAGCCCATAATCAATTATATTAAGAAATATATCTGGTCAGATTAAACAAGATTTATAAGATATGTTATCAAATTGGTAAAAAGAAAAAATCATTTACTCTACTAATTTATATTTTTTAGTA